GTACTAAAGTTGTACTACCAAGTCGCCAGTTCTCATCTTCCAGCTCCAGCTACTCCGCGCACTACAGTTGTACTGCAAAGTTGCCAGTTCGCAGCTACTACCCACACCAGTTCTCATCTTCCCACTCCCCAGCTACTCTGCGTACTAAAGTTGTACTACCACGTCGCCAGTTCTCATCTTCCCACTCCCCAGCTGCTCTGCGTACTAAAGTTGTACTACCAAGTCGCCGCTTCTCATCTTCCAGCTCCACAGCTACTCCGCATACTAAAGTTGTACTACACAGTCGCCAGTTCTCAGCTTCCAGCTCCACAGATTGCTCCGCGTACTAAAGTTGTACTACAAAGTCACCAGTTCTCAGCTTCCAGCTCCCCAGCTACTCCGCGTACTACAGTTGTACTACAAAGTCGCCAGTGCTCATCTTCCAGCTCCCCAGATACTCCGCGCCCTCAAGTTGTACTACCCACTCGCCAGTTCTCATCTTCCCGCTCCCCAGCTACTCCGCGTACTACAGTCGTACTACCACGTCGCCAGTTCTCAGCTTCCAGCTCCCCGGCTACTCTGCGCACTAAAGTTGTACTACCAAGTCGCCAGTTCTCATCTTCCCACTCCCCAGCTACGCCGCGTACTACAGTCGTACTACCACGTCGCCAGTTCTCAGCTTCCAGCTCCCCGGCTCCCCCTGGTACTAAAGTTGCACTACAAAGTCGCCAGTTCTCAGCTTCCAGCTCCACAGCTTGCTCCGCTCGAATCGCACTCTCGCCTGCGTTTCGCGCACTCGACGCGCACGATCTCCGCAGAGGGTCGCGCGGTGATTTTACAAATCGCGCTCTCGCCTGCATTTCGCGCACTCGACACGCGCGATCTCCGCAGAGGGTTGCGCGGGCAGCCGGCAAATCGCACTCTCGCCTGCATTTCGCGCACTCGACACGCACGATCTCCGCAGAGGGTCGCGCGGTGATTTCACAAATCGCGCTCTCGCCTGCATTTCGCGCACTCGACACGCACGATCTCCGCAGAGGGTTGCGCGGGCAGCCGGCAAATCGCGCTCTCGCCTGCATTTCGCGCACTCAACGCGCACGATCTCCGCAGAGGGTTGCGCGCGGACCGGACAAATCGCACTCTCGCCTGCATTTCGCGCACTCGACGCGCACGATCTCCGCAGAGGGTTGCGCGCGGACCGGACAAATCGCACTTTCGCCTGCATTTCGCGCTCTCGACGCGCACGATCTCCGCAGAGGGTTGCGCGGGCAGCCGGCAAATCGCACTCTCGCCTGCATTTCGCGCACTCAACACGCACGTTCTCCGCAGAGGGTTGCACTTTCGGTTGACGCTCTTCGTCCCGCCCTCCGCCTTTAAGAGAGAATTTATAAAGTGGGGAAATGTTTTTTCATTGGGACATCTCCCGTGCTAGTTTTCCATACTCACACTTGCCTACTCATTGCATGCTTGCATGCTCATTGCATGCTTGCGTACCCATCACTTGCATACTTACACTGCGTGCTTGCCGAGTGTCAGTGTGTATGTGTAAGTGTCAGTGCTTGCATGCTCATTGCATGCTTGCGTACCCATCACTTGCATACTTACACTGCGTGCTTGCCAAGTGTCAGTGTGTATGTGTAAGTGTCAGCGTCGAAGTGTCAGTGTATGTAGTGCGAATGTGGTGGGAGTGTCAGTGTGTAAGTGTAAGTGTCGAAGTGTCAGTGTTCAACGGATTTTCCGGAAGAACCCTTCGCAATGCTTTCGGGAAAAAGAAATCACATGGGAGACAAATGAATAGAAATGCTGCATGGCCAGCGGAAAAGGGCGGACGCCAGCAGTGACAGACCTGGAAGACAAATGAATAGAAATGTTGCATCGCCAGCGGAAAAGGGCGGGCGCCAACAATGACAGACCTGGAGACTAATGAATAGAAATGCTGCATGGCCGACGGGCGGACACAAGCAGTGACAGACCTGGGAGACAAATGAATAGGAATGCTGCATTGCTTGCCGAAAAGGGCGGACATGAGCAGTGACAGACCTGGAGACACATGAATAGAAATGCTACATGGCCAACGACCAGTGACAGACCTTGGCCGGCGGAAAAGGGCGGACACCACCAGTGACAGGCCTGGGAGACAAATGAATAGAAACGCTGCGTGGCCAACAGACAAGGGCGGACACCACCAGTGACAAGCCTGGGTGACAAATGAATAGAAATGCTGCATGGCCAGCCGAAAAGGGCTGACACCAGCAGTGACAGACATGGGAGACAAATGAATAGAAACAGTGGAAAGGGCGGGCGCCGCCAGTGACAAACCTGGGAGACCAACGAATAGAAATGTTGCATCGCCAGCGGAAAAGGGCGGACAGCAGGAGTGAGAGACCTGGGAGACAAACGAATAGAAATGCAACATGGCCAACGGAACACCAGCAGTGCAGGGCTTACATGGCCAGCAGAAAAGGGCGGACACCAGCAGTGACAGACCTGGGAGACAAATGAATAGAAAGCGGAAAAGGGCGGACACCACCACTGACAGATGTGGCAGACAAATGAATAGCAATGCTACATGGCCAGCAGAAAAGCCAGCAGAAAGTTGCATGGCGAACGGGGCGGACACCACCAATGACAGACCTGGGAGACAAACGAATAGAAATGCTACATGGCCAGCGGAAAAGGGCGGACACCAGTGACAGACCTGGGAGACAAATGAATAGAAATGCTACATGGCCAGCAGAAAAGGGCGGACACCACATAACAGACCTGGGAAACAAATGAATAGAATTGGTGCGTGGCCAGCGGACAAGGGTCACCAGCAGTGACAGACATGGGAGACACATGAACAGAAGTGCTGCATGGCCAGCGGAAAAGGGCGGAGACCACCAATGACAGACTTGGGAGACAACTGAAAAAGGTCGGACACTGACAGACCTGATAAACACATGAATAGACACGAATAGAGATGCTGCATGGCCAGCGGAAAAGGGGGCACCAGCAGTGTGGAACCCGACCAAGCACCGAGTGGGAGACAAGCCGGCTGGAACCCGACCACAAGCACCGAGCCAGCCGCGAACAGGCCTGACACCACCAGTGACAGACCTGGGAGACAAGCGAATAGAAATGTTACAAATGAATAGAAATGCTACATGGCCAGCCCAAAAAGGGCGGACACCAGCAGCGACAGACTGGGAGACAAATGAATAGAAATGCTACATGGCCAGCGGAAAAGGGCGGACACCAGCAGTGACACAAAGGGCGGACACATCTTAAGAAAGAATTGAGAACCCCTAACAGTAAACTGTTTGGGGAATGAAAAGGAATGCTTTCCACAGAATTAATTCCTGAATATCTTCTATCTTTAAGGTATAGAGTATATGTATATTTATATATATATATATGCTTGGCCCATGACTTTGGCAACTCTTCAGATGCAGCTCAAACTTCAGGGCGTGACCCACGGCCCCACGCCCAAATGTAAACTACAGATCACCTATCAGCGCAGTATTGGACGCAAGCTAGGTGGCAGGAAACTAAGTGTGAAGGCCCCTGACAAAATGCGGCAGGACATTCGCCCTGGCCAGTGTGCAGGGGGAAGTACAATCTCAGCCCAGAGTGTGACAAACTCAGAGTCTTGAATAGGCTGAGAAGAGCAGCGAGTTCAGACACTTAAGAACGACTGGGTTTGTTCTGAAACCGAGGCTGCTTTGCGATCTCTCAAGCTCGTGTTCCACTGTCCGAAAGTGGGCACGGACAGATCACAAACTACAGTATTCAGTGTGCAACATATGTATACTTTGACTCCATCCCCGTTCTTTTGCGAGGCTTTGCCTTTGCAGAAACCAGTTGCAGAGGCCCGAAATTTGCACAAGTTACGTACGCCTTGATTTTTTGTTTTGCGCAGGACTTGCTGGTCCGCTGGCCTGCAGTCAGATCTGGCCTGCTGCAGTTAAGAATACTTTATCAGGCATCAAGTATCTTTGGCGGCCATTTGCTGATGCAAGAGCAGACGACAATTTCTGTGATAGGTGAGTCTTTTGTACCGCCACATTGGCGAATCGGATCTTGCCGCAGCTTGTGCAGAGTGCGGTCTCAAGCTTCTTGGTTCGACATTAAGCTTTCAATGCTACACGTTCGCACGTATTCACGCCGCTTCGCGGTGGAAGCCGCCCGCACAGATTCAATGGGCAAATGTATCAGTAGCACCCACGAGGATACGGGTTGGTTATTGGGGGTGGGAAGCAGCAACTTGTGCTGTCGGAGCCGGTCTGTCTTGAAGTCGGGCAGGACACATGGACGAGTGCACGCATGATGTCAATAGTCTGTCTGGGTCTGTCAGTCTTGGTCTGTTTGTCCACACCCACGATGTCAATAATGCAGTATTCCCCGGGCTGCGTAGCCGGCATCGCGAACATTTACCCCCGAAGCCATACAGACAATCATACACATGATATCAATTTTTGTTTTTTTTGAACAAGCCTGAAGAACACAGGTTATAGACACAAAAATAGCGCCCCGTAAACGGTTTATCTAGCAGCTGATCTTCCAGTCTAGCCGAACCGACACACGGAGATATATAGTTCAATCCAGTCGTTGCCAACCACTTTTCGATTCAAGGCTTATGTCAAAGAAACTTTGTGGCGACAATCGATGGAAACTCAGATTCCTTTGCATGCAAGCAAGGCCTGCGACTGTGACTTTGACCCGCTTCGTAACTCCACAGCTGCTAGACATGAACGTGCAAGTGCCTTTCTCATCCTTGACATTGCGTCGTGGTGTTTTACAACAGTTTCATACCTTCTCAACCAGAAACACCAGACGTTCAACTTACAGTCTGTAATTTGGTGAAGATTCGGCCTTTTGCTCATTCTTTTGTATCGATGTCATATGAAAGATCATGATGATAGACAACAGTAAAAAATATGCTACACGATTCTCATGGCTAATTCTGGGATCATATACGGTCAAATATAAAGACTCCCCGCCTCAGTGGTCAGCTTTATCTCCAAACTTGGAGTACATATGAGTAGTTATGAGTTTCTTGCCCAAACATGATGTGGAGGTGCTCAACCTCCCGTTTGCTCAACAATCCAAAGGCCGACTGCGCCACTCAGAAGTTTCTTCTATTTGTTGGTTCTTCCAGCAGCGTTCAATAAGCAGGAGAGCACTGTTCTCGGCAAAATAGAAGAGCTGTGGAATGACAGGACTGTGTGAAAGAAGCAGCTGAACCAGCTAAGAGCAAGCTGTTGTAGCCCAGCCAAAGCGATCCTACTGCGGCTTCAAGCTTTGCAGGATCAAAGGACACCCTGCCGTGGCTTTGCTGCCAAAAAAGGAATCAATGCCTATCACCGTGGACGAGGCGCTCGCGATTCTTGTAGAAGACACAGGCAAACTCTCTATTGCTTGACCCGAAACAAACATCGGAAGCGCAAATCAAGACTTTGGCGATCGTATTTACGAGTGCTAGATTACCTTTAGAACTGCACAGCTCGCATCCCAGAACGCTGCAGTCACTGAAATATAAAAATCGTTTAGAGTAACACATGTGCTTTGCCGTTGTGCAGGAGGAGAGCGCAACAATGCCTTCAGAGCTTCTTGCTTTGTGGGTGGATGCTTCTTTGTCGTGCGCATCCAGACGAGCGTCTTTGTTGAGATGGTTACTAAAGGCCAGGATGGTGTTTCCTGCAAGAATTGTAAGACAACTTTAACAACAACTACAGTGTAATATAGATACACTGTATAATATGTATTTTTGGAAGATGGGCTCCGCTTTTTGCAGGTCAGTGGAACAGCTCCAGAGAGTGGAACACTTGTGTTCTTGACACAGCTGCAGATGGAAAACTCAGATGGTGCAGAAAGTATGCAACATGTTTTCCGGGAAGTTGGTCGCTATCCACCGAATTCTCCAAAACCACGTCCGCTTTTTCAAGCCTTGGCGGTGATCTCAAAAGCGGCACTCAACAATTCCAAGAAAGACAACGGCGCTGAGACCACAGAGTTCCTAAAAGGATCGCTTTGCGCAGCAGTGTTGGAATTAGAGCGGTGTTGCACAGCACTGGCTTCTCCAGCATTACTGACAGATGAGGCATCAAACGAGGTATCAATGCAGACTTGTGGTGTATATAGCCATCTAAGAGTACTGTATGTTTCAAAATACACGCAACTCAAGCAGGATTTGTGCACTCACTTATTGCCTTTTACGCATGACTCATCTTGTATTGCCCACACATGGAGGTGAGAGAGTTGCGCTCCTTTGACACTTTGCTTCTGAGCGTTTTTGCTTTAAGAGGCTGGACCGAGCAGCAAAAGCCATGATTCTGAAGAGACCAGAAATTTCCGACATGAATTCAATTGAATGCAATTTCAGAAATCTTACAATGAAATCTTCCTTCCATGTTGATGAGATCCCATTTTCACCAGCTTGTGCAATAATACCGGAAGACAACAGTCAAACATTGGCACCATGTTTTCCACATAAAGCTGGTTCAGGTGCGGTTTTCACTGGCGACAGCGCTGCGGCAAGCCAAAGCGCTCATCTCCTACTTGATGCTGCAAACGTGCTGCACCTGAAAGAGTATATACATATGTATTATTTCTCACTGGAATGATTGCCATCCGAACAAGCCTGAGTCCAACGCGATCCAGATTTTTTTGGCCGAGGTGCCACAAAGAGACTTGATGGATGCTCCAGAGGATCGGACAAAGACTTGTGCCGTTAGTTTGGCAGCCACATGAGCAATTTCCCACAGTAAGCTCTTTCAAGCTCCTTTGTGTAATTTGCATTTGTTAAGAATCTGTAAATGACATCCTGGCAAATAGAGAAACAACGTGAGTCTGCCACATTCACGACATGACTTGACACAACAGGATTCAGACTCTGACATCTGACTCCATCTTTGGGAGGATGAAGTTTTCGATGTTTTCAATGGTTGGGTGTGCGTTCTGCAGGAACAAACAGTTTCTCGTTCCCGCAGCCCACGCCGCGGACATGGCTTAGTTGCCTTTGCAAGGGCCAGGTGGCAGCTTTGCAAGCAGGTGTGGCTCCCACTTTCGATGAGTTATAGTTATATAGTTATATACAGTAGATGGGTGATTGTTCTAAAGGGGAGTTGTTCAGATGTCGGTTACCGACCGTGGTTTGTTGCTTGCTTTCAGCTCTAGGTTGTCCCATTTTGTTCTGGCGCTTCACTAATTTTTCTTGCAGAGCTCCGTGCAAAGCAGAGGAGGCTTGAGAAGCTCAGTGACCAGTGATCCTTGTCTTATCTTGGCTTTGCATAATACCACCAGATTTCAAGCGTGCGAACGAGTTCTGGACCCCACCCGGTGTGACTTGAGAATCTTTTGAGGGCAGGAGTATCAGCCAGCAAACATAAGCAGCAAAAAACACGCTTTGTATCACTCCTCCTTTGATCCAGACATCTTTGAAGATTGAAACCTGTCACATTAAAAGGCATTCTCGATACTGTATTGTCCGACCTCCAATATCAATCACTACAGTGTAACTGTAACATTTATAGCTTCAGCTGCAGAAAGGTGGATTCTGAGTATGATAGAGTGAAAAACACTGCGTGAAACTGTACTTGACAGCAAATCTAGGTGCACTTGGATGCTTACTGGATCATTCACAGCTGCAATCCAGTCACTCTGTGCCTATTGAAGACCTGTGCAGTGGCAACTGGATGTCGCAGCTTACCCCGGATATGTCACTTGCATGGCTCCAGGCATGCCCAATGGCTGTGCTTGCTTGAAATGTTGACTTTGTGGGATTTCAGTCCTGATGCTTTCCTCGCGGAGGTAGATTGGAGAAGCCAATCCCTCCAAATTACTCGCTCCTTGGACGCTGGTTGTGGTTTGCCAGCTCATTCAAAAGTCCTATCTCAGCGGGTTGAAGTGCCTTCCCAACTTCTACACAGCCTTCGGGAGCGACTCTGCAAGCTCATTGAGTTTCACCTCTCCCAATCAAAGGTTTCAACGCTGTGAAACGAACAAAAGTGTTTAAACGGTCAACGACATGCCCTGAAAGTAAATATATGAGCGAGCGGGAGGAGGATTTGCAAAGCCTTCACGAGCTGAACAGCAAGAAGATAAGGGAGCTTTGGCAGCGGGAGGACAAGCGCTCTGAGGCGAGTACCACAGTTTCTTGCGTTTTGTGTTTTGCTCAACAAGTACGGCGGTGGAAAGTGCAGGCCGTGCGGCTAGAATTCTGGCAAAGTCGCAAGAGCTTTGACGGGCAGCTTGGAAGGGTGGCTGAAAGGATTCAAAAGGTCACCAAGCTGCACCGCCAAGCACATAGCAAACATTTCTTCCAAAGACTTCTTTCACGGACTTGTGTTTGTTTGACAAGGTCAGGAAAACACATGAAATAGCACTTAGTGGATCTTCAACTACTGTATGTATAATCTTCACTTTGAGCAACATATATATATATATAGATTTGTTTGTTGTATACTTTGTTGCTTACTCTCATTTATCGCGCACATTGTGGGAATTTTGAGGAAGTTCTCCGGTCTGAGCGCTATTTGTTGGCTCCGTGGCCACAGAGTGAAGCAACCAGACAACGGCTTTTGGACGCTCTGCGTGCATGGCTGAATGAAGCTGAACAGCTAGCCAAAGCGGCTAACAGGAATTTACGCCAACAGGAGCCTGATCCTCAACATTTCTTTCTGCTGGCAGCTTGGCATTTGATTTAGTTCCTTGAAGCACTTTGTTTACAGATTTGCTTGATTGTCTCATTCTTCTACCTTGATTCCTTGAAAACCTGGGAGCAGTTGGAAGGCTTGGAGAATAGCAGGATGCCAGAAAGCATAAAAAGAAATAGCGGAAATAACGGCATATTGATGACACCTTGAGAATATGCTTGACTATAAACGCTACTCGTAGCAAAGGGCATCGCTACTAGGAGCAAGGACGCTACTAGGGGCTCCTGGCCTTATTACTAGGAACAAGAAGCTACTAGGAACAAACCACGAAACATTCGTTTATGCTTTGGATTTGGACGTCCAGGCACTTCTGTTCATCGACTGCGAGCATTTGGAGGCACCAATATTGTCATGAGTCCAACAGACGGAAATCAGGGACAAAATGCATGCATGGATTGGGCTTTCTGGCGCTCAGTTGAGGTCTCTCAATTGGTCTCTATTTTGGGCGACCTTGTGGATGGCAGCAAGTCCATTTTGAGACGATTGGCGTATTCCATGCGAAGGCGGTTGGCAAGCTTCGTGTTGAAGTTCTTAGGTTGAGAGAAGATACCATTGTTATGAATTCTTGCGGCCCTTGGATGGCAGGTGCCGCTCGGAGTTGCAAGCGCTTTTCAAAGAACCTCCTGAGGCAGCTTTGCACTTTGAGTTTAGAAACACATCTCAAGATGTTGAGTCAGCGACCTCAGACAACGGCCGACTCATCTCCTGACGGCTTAAAACAAGATGGAGTCCACGAGCCCGAACGCACGCACGCACTCGAAAACAAATGGCGAAACATTGCATGTTTGACACTCTTGTGGGACACTCTTGCGGGGCACTCTTGTAGGAGACGCTTTTGTGGGACACTCTTGTGAGACACTCTTGCTTGACACTCTTGTAATTCTTGTAGCGCGCTCTTGTCGGACACTCTTTGGCGACCGCAAGTCATCCCGCCCACCAGCGACGCACGCATGTTGCCATGGAGCCACGCAAACGCACTTTCCACCGAGGCCGCGGGCCACAGACTAGATGCAACCGTGACGTGACACTGCCAATCATCCCGCGCACCGGCGACATGCCGCATCTACAGCCATCTGGCGCGCCAAGCCGCATGGCACAGCGACATCAAGGATGTAATTTCGGCTCGCTGCATACCACTTTCTGAGCGCGTCGGATGAGATTTCCTCGAAAATTCACGTGTCAAATCTCCAAAATCAGTGCTCTGAGAGTCATGCGTCAAGTCTTCAAAACGCAAGTCACAACAAGCATTTCGGATGAGATGGCCCCAAAAGTCACGCGTTAGATCCAAAACGAGCATTTCGTACGACACTTCTCCAAAAGCCACGCACCAAACCCCCAAAACGAGCGCTTTAGTAGATTTCCTCCAAAAATCGCGCGACAAGTTTACAAAACGAGCATTTCTTACTAGGCTTGCCCGGCCCCTTCCCTCAAAAGTCAAACAACAAGTCTCCAAAACGAGTGTTTCGGTTCAAGGCTTCCTCCAATAATCATCCGTCAAGTCTCCAAAACGAATGTTTCGTACAAAGTCAAATTCAAAACTGTTTAAAAGTGAGCATTTTGCATGGGGCTTCCTCCAAAAGTGAAGCGGGAAGTCTTCCAACAAGCGCAAGGCGCTGTGCCTGCCACGAAGAGTTGATGCGTCACATCTTCTGGTCACCATACATTTGGAATGATTTCGACGCTGTTAGAGCACACTCACATCAACAAAATCGCAATTTTAGCTGAGACTTGTCACAAAGACACAGCTTTAAGCCAAGGGCCTGAAAAGCGAATCCTAATGGCGCAGCTACGCTCAACACCTCCAATCTGCAAACGCCAGTCCCAATGGCGCCGCGAAGGAAACTGAGGATCTCACAAAACGCTGCGCCGGGCTGCACCTGCACAGAAAAATAGTCATCCACACGTCCACATGTTACTCTCAAATGTTGAAGTCGTGGCGACATTCAATTTTTGAAGCGTTTACTTGGGGACTTGAATCTATGGAAGTTGTGGCGACTTTGCGTTTAGTTGGGGAGAAGACAAGGCAGCAGCGGCAAACAAAACGACGATCAAGCACAACGCCGATCGCGCAGGCAAACGAGTGGGGAGGGAGGTGGGGAAACAAGTAAGGAGACAAGGCAGCAGGGGCGGGCAGACAAAACGCCGATCACAGCAGACAAGCGGGGAGACAAGAAGCAAGGAAGGAAAGAAAGAAAGAAGGACCGGGGCGAGAGCATATACATGATGAGGTAACTAGAGGTTTTCATTCTGAGGGTTTCCTTGGTGGCACAGGTTCTGACCTTGTTCACCCTCTCGTTCATCCTCGTTCCGATACCTCTCTGCGATTCAAGTAAAGTGTCCAGTGCCCGGTCCAAAGAGATGTCAAGGGACCACAAGAAAATTGACATCATTGCTAAATATTGCTAAATCACTGCGTTTCCATGCCAGAAGCTTGTTGTGAACACATGACAATTTCACAACACATCAAAAACATTGCCAAGTCATCGCGTTTACATGCTGGAACCTCGTTTTGGCACAACATGGCTAAGTGACATTTCTAAGTGATTGCGTTTACGTGCGGGAACATTGTTTTGAATACATGAGAGCTGTGTTGGGGAGAACGCGCCAAAAACATTCACATTTCATCGCGTTTACGTGAGGGAACAACGTTTTTGCAAGGACTATGCCGGGACCCCCCTCTTGGCGTCGCGTTTACATTGGGGAACACAAGTTTTTTCCTAGTATGCCGTGACTTCCGCGGCTGAGTGTACGTTTCTGCACTATTTCGCATGAATCTGACCCTTCTGCCTTCCATCCGAAACCTCCGCCAACACCTTTCCCCAATGGCATGGCCTCATCGATCGCATTCAAAAGCTTGTGGACGTTTGCAAATACGAACGCAATGTCACGCGAACGACGTTCCACCTTCAGCTTCCCAAAGTTAGAACCCTCCGCTACAGTATTTGGGAACAATTCCTGGCAAAACTGGTTTGTTTGATTTTGTTTTCGTGTTGTCCTTCTTCGGCATTCCTTGTGTTTGTCCAAGGCTCCCTTGTTGCTGTATGTCGACGCCAGCATGGCTCAACTGCCGCTGGAGGCTTGCCCTTCTTTGAGGCGGAAGCGGTCCAGATTACTACTATCTACAATAGAACCATTTACTGTGCCAGAAAAATTGAGGTTAATTTTCAAGTTTCCGAAGCAACCAGGGAAACATATTTTTCCTGTGGAGTTTGGTTCCAACGTTTTGTTGATATGTGTGGGCCTTGTACTTGGTGATTCATGAAAGCAATCCTTCCAAGGCATCGAAATGTTGTCCGTGGGCTAGCTCCGAACATAACGCTTCTCGTCTGCTTGTGCAAAAAAACAAACAGATTTCTGAGCGCAATCTGGTGGGAGGTGGTTCCCCGGTTTTTGAGTCAGGAACCAGGACCAGGGAGCTTGTCAAGTTTGGTTGAAGGCAATGTACAAGCATGCCAATCAGCAGCATTGAATCAGTTGTGAAAGCGCAAGCAAGAGGATGTGTTCCCCCATTTTTTAAACCTAACCGCTGGCCCAACTGAGGCTCGCCGCCCTTTCTTCTAGTGAACCAACAAGTACCACGGGCTTCTTTGTGATTGACCCGGCTGAAGACTGTGCAGCCATGGTGGATGTCAGACAACTGCTGACCTCTTGGACAGATGGTCAGGAGCGGTGAGGGATGCGGATGGCGTCTTCGCACAGGACCTTGCATCCTCAGAGTAGCGTTACTTTATCGCCTCATCACCTATTTTTTTCAACAAGCGTCCTATGTTTGCGCTGGACAGTCTTTTTGTCTTTCGTCAGTCGCTCGCTTTGTTTGCTAAGAAACTGTCGCAATATGTCGCAACATGTACTATTGGCGAGACCAAATGGCAAACAACTGCTGAAGGCCGAAGTGGCTGAAGTCTGTCTTCTTGTTGCGTGTTCTTTTTTTTAAATGAGCAAGTCTGTGTTCTTCAACAGGCCCTGGATAGGTTCCTCTGTCCATTCTGAGAGCTGTCCAGTTGAACTCAAGATTTTTGTGCGGATCTTGCGTACCGGCGTCTCCACCACCACGTGCACAGCCAGCTCACAGCACCAGCACCAGCGCCCGGCACCACCAGCACCAGCACCGGCACCCGGCGCCCACCAGCAACCTGTCTCCACAGCACCAGCGTGCACAGCCAGCTCACAGCACCAGCATCGGTGCCCGGCACCAGCGCCAGCAACCTGTCTCGAAAGCGCGCGCGGGCAATTCATTGTTAGTTCAAGTAAGAACCCCATAGCTTCGCTATGTGGGGAAAAAGGGCTGGCCACGATAGCCTTTCTCGCGCTGTCCGCCCTTTTGTTCATGATCCGGGTCTGTGTGTCTTGCTTGGCCGTGCTGTGGGCCCGTCTTCTCCACCTTGTCCAGGCCTTGTCCAGGCTGTTGCCCAGGTCAGGTTTGGCGTTGTCAGCCTTCTTTTCGCTGGCGCGTGTGTAATATGCATATAGAAAAAGTATAGCCTTCTTTCTTTTCCTTGTTTCATGTTGTTTCCTCAGGAAGCGGGTGTGGCAATCTCAGCGTCCCGATTGTGTATATAACCCCTCCAAACTAGAGCAACCCTCCGAAGGCAAACCAGAATATTTCTTGAAATGAGGGTGTTGCAGTCAGTTTGTGATTTCCTTTGGGGTGTGTCTTTCTCTTTTTGTTTTTGATCAATTGATCAGCGTGTTCGTGGCAACATCAGGGTAAACTTGAGCAGGCCTGGCATGGTCATACTGGGCGCCTTCCAGAACCTGCAAGAGCAACTTGGACAACACCCCAACTGTTGAGTGTGTTTAGACGCCAGGACTCTCCTAATCAGCACGCCAATGTTAAGGCTAAGGAGTATTGCTAGAGAGGTCCCAGTCTGTGCCACTACTTTCTGGTTGAGGCAGCAGGGATTGCCGGAGACTCCCTCGCACTGAGACAATACAAGATACTGCAACTTCCAGTTGCGCCGCGTTGTTTGTTAGCTTGATTTCTCCTTGTCCATACCACAATGGGGCATAGGTTGGGGAAAAGGACGATGCCGACGATGCCGCTATGTATTGACAAACATCTTGAAGGTATATAGGTTCCTTCTTAAAAGTGCTGGTCACTTCTTTCAAACAAGGAAAGGCGATCCTGAAGGAATGTCCTGATCAGCAAAGTTTGTGCCATGGACAAGGGCCTAACATGCAAACAATGCTTGTATCAACGAGAAAATTATTTGTTCCCTTGGCAGTTGCCTGAATGAAGTTCTTTTTTTTTTAATGGGGCAGATGTCTTGCTTGAGCCTTTGTGCACTCTTGAGCCAAAAAGGCTTCAATTTTTTCAGCAACATGATGTGACTTCTTGAGAAGATGTCGCGTTGCCTTCCTTCCAGGCATCACTGCGTTCCTGATTGGCTAGTCGTAAATTTTGTTGTTGCGTCTCTAAATGAAGCTCACAAGAAAGCAGCCGACAAACATAATATGTTGCAACTCCGAGCAACTTTGAAGCCTGCAGCCGCCAGGAAAAGTTGAGGGCCCAGTTGCCCGGCTCGAGCTTTTGCCTATGTGTGGACACCATGGCAAGTGAATCTTGGAAAACCCAACATCTGTGAAGCTTGCCCAGCACAAAGATCCCACAACGGGAAAGACCATCAAAGCCAAAAGTTGGACTCAGGTGGTTGACAGGCCGTGTCGTTTTCTGAAAAACCTCATGAAATTGAAGAGGTTGGTCGACCCAGCTGCGGGCAAAAATCCGTCAGCCCAGTGCAAATACGTGCAGAAGCAAAGACTTGTATGGGTAGCGTCTGGGGAACTCTCCTCACGGGCGCTGGAAGACTACGTGGTGCCCAAGCAGTAGTGAACAATGCACGTAGCCACAGAAGTAGGATTTGTCTCATTGGGCTCCTTCTTGTACTGCTTTACCTGGCCTTTTGATTTCATTATAATGTAATGCCTGCACTTTTGCTCTGCACAGGGCTCATTAGAATGTCGTCTGATAATGCCACCCATTTTCTTCTACAATGTGTCATTTGATGCTCCAGCTCAAGTCTTTGGTGTAAATTATCGTTTGATGCCTGAATGCTTGATGTGCGAGGTGGGTGCTGGGGGGGTAACATATATATAGATCTACATTTGGATTGGTTGGAGCCGGGGGTTCATTGGCCGATGGCGGCTTCTTTGGCCTTTAATAAACTTGTGCTGCACCCAAGCCAAAGCTCGGGTGTTGAATAGATAATTGTCCGCGCCCACGTGCAAGCTGCAGCTAAGGTATTGGAAGAACTTTGCAAAAAAGATATTTTTGTGTATCTAGGCCACGGAGAGAAAGCAAGGCGGGATGCTACTACTGTTGTTGCTGCTGCTTGGGTTTTTAAATGCAGTTCCCATTAATTTTGTATGATTTCTTTCCCCCCCAACCGACGTGTTTCGCAGTATTTAAGGCAGCAAATGCAACATTACACATTTTGTTTTGAATTTATAAACTGTGTATGAATCTGTGTTGTTCATTTTCCGGTTCAGTCCATTCAGGAGAGCTGTTTGTATGTGTGTGTCAAAAGAACCATATGCCCCGCATGCTGGTTTGTATTTTTTGGAGGCACCTTCTGCGCCAAGAGACGCTGCAAGTTGCTGGTTCGTCGGACTCTTGACCAACATCTTTCTGTAGGAGGTTAATAACGGTTTCAACATGGACATATGTAAGCATGCATGCACTGAACTTGATGCCGATGTACTTCAGTGCATGGTGTGGTCGGAGTGGGCTGGGTGAGGAAAAAAACTCTCCAGCATGCCAAGCCGGCCTTCGCTCGATTTTGATGCTCCTGGGGTGTTCTAGCGTCAAGATTCAAAATGCCTCCACCTTTTCACAGGCGCCGTTCAAAAAATGGACCACAATTGATTGCTGATAACCAAAATAGCTACTTCCAAACATTCTTTTGCAATTGTAACGTTGTGTTCTCAACTGTTTTGGTTTGGTGTTTTCCCTTCCTAAACATGCCCAGTCTAGTTTGCAGGATGAGTCTTTTGGCCTGGTGAGCAGTGCTTTGCTTGGCGGTGCTCCTTTGGTTCTGGGAGCGCAATGGGATGTGCTGGGCGGAGATCTTGACAAGCTCGCCAGCAGGCAAGGCGACGCTGAAACAACATGCCTGAAGCATTTCAGTGCTGGAGCTCTCGATGTGTTATTTGTGAGACGGCTGTTTCATGTAGAGTTTGTCCCAGCAGAAAATCCCTTTGCGGTTTAGGCAAGGTTTTCTCGCAGGCCCATACTATAGTGCATATGGAGTGTTTGGTTGTTCAAACAGCACCCTTGTTTTGCTCTTCAGGGTTATCATGATGTTACATGCAGCTCAGTACTGCTACGCATGCACAACCTTTCAAACGCAAATGTATGCCTCTCTTGCTCTGGCTAGATTTCTTGGTACACTGGGACCCCAGTTACCAGTCGGACCCAGCATTGAGGCTGCTGCAGAGATGGCTGAAGGAAGGCAAGCCTACTCGATGCGGAGGCTGCGACATTTTCACGTTGAGAGACTCACCTAGAGCCCTTTGTATCTCGAGGACTCGAGTCGAGGACGTGAACATTAACCTTTGCTTGAGGTTTCACTTCAAAGCTGAAAATGACTTGTTTCAATGTACTGTACTTAAGAACAGCTTCATCCACGATCATCAGCTGCTGAAGCAGTATTCCTCAATAGGTTCACTTGCTTCCTCAGCTGCAGCGTGCACTTTTCCGCTTGAGTCCTTTGGGCGCAATCTGTGCCAAACTATCCAGGGTTTCCATGACAGTGGACATGATTGTGCGTGTGTCCTTTGTGAATCAGGTGTGTAGCAAGCTGGGATCCGGAAGATTGGTCTAGAGTTCTAGTGAGTCTAGTAGACTATATAGTCGACCATATTTGTTTGGAAGCAGTTTGAATCTGGACAGCTAACTGGCCCAGACTGCGTAGACTGTAGATGGCACGCGGGACAAGACTTGGGCTAGTCCTATTACAGTATTACTACTAGTGATTACTCAGCTCTCAAACATGAAGATGACTGAAGATGACCCAATGACATGCAATGATACAAGCCGATCAATGACTGATCAATTGATGCAGTGATTTGCGACGCCTAGGCTGAGACAGTAACCGTGTGGTTTGCACTTGGAAGTTGGGCTCACCCACTTGATGTGGACGCGGACGCTTCTGGTGACGCTGTGGAATGGTAAGTTACCTAAGATAAGCATCAATGCTTGTTGCTTTCAAAAGCCAAGCGTCGCTCCTTCACATTGCCTTCCGCCAGTTCACGATTCCTTTACTCCCAAAGCAAGCTACCCTGCAAACTATTGCAGCTGCTCCTTCGGCCATATTCAACAAACTCTCATCGCTGCCATGCGGCTGTACCAAGATGTTTTCGGAAGAGAACGGACGGCTTCAGACCAGGTTCCCGTTGCCTTAAAAACAAGCTGAAGGCTTGCAACTTGCAACAAGAGAGGTGGTGTATGATACTGTAGCGCAACGACCCAGTGACCTTGGACAACAAACTAAAATGCATAATGCGCATTGAAATAAATTGTCTAATTTCGGAACAAGGCAATTGAAAACACGCCAACACGCAAAGCTCCAGGCCTTCTTGCTGCCTTGAAAACGCTGCGGCCAAACTGCTTGTTGCCGAATTTGACTGGGGCCGCTCTGGCACCTCGACCCTCCAAAGCTCGAAACTCTTGTCCGTTTTAGGAAGTTTTTGGTGATGGGTTTTAGGTTCTGTGCTTTAACACATTCATGGCAAGTTCGGACGTGTAGGGTGGAACCATGGACTTCGATTGATTTGGCATGACCTTGGGTGAAGGCAGAGACATGGATGTGGTGGTGGGTTGGGGCTGTCATTTTGGATGCACACTTGGCGGGAATTGTCTCCACTGTTTTGGGCTTGCAAGGTGCCGTTTTGTGTGCTCAGGTTTGCTATGGAATTCCAGTTTAATCGCTGCATGTGGCTGGCGCACGTGGCTGGATCAAGGAAGTTTTCAGAGGGTTCTGAGTAGGTCAAAGCTTTTTGGGCATCACAAGATGGCAAGAACCAGTAGAACTGCAAAGCAGTTCGGCTGCACAATTCAATCACAATTCGATATGGTGCATGAAGTGCTTGTTTTTTATTTGCAAATTTGAATTGCTCAAAGGGGGTTGATGACAATCTGATTGAACATAGTCGGCTTTGACGATTCGTGGGCAATTCAGTTCGCACAGTTTTTTTGGTTTGGGCAGGTGATGCGCAATGTTGTGGCGTTGAGTGGCAAAAACGAGACCTTGGGCAACGCATCGCCTTGAATGAATCAACCTGCACCGCCTGGTCTACAGTAGGATTCAATGTTGAGTTCTGCTTTCTTCCCGCAAAATTGGGCTCGCAGTCTCACCAAATAGGTATTTTTTGAGGAGTTACGCAGGTGTTTTTGTTCCAAGTGGGTGAACTCCTCAACTTATACTGATACCATTGAATTGTAAAGCTGAGGAGCATTCTGTTGTGAGACTTTGTAGTTTTGCAATACTGTTTTGTGCAACTGCAAGCATGTGCATCATTGCTGTAAATTCCTTCTGGAAATTGGCTCCGAGGCACAGATCATTCAGCGCCTTTGGGCGCCCTTCCCTCGGCAGGAGCACATGATTCAGAGTGCACGTGTACTTGTGTCGAAATGAGTGCTGTTGGAAGATGCAAAGAAGCGTCTTACTATGTGTCATTCATGGGAGATGGAGATGGGTTTGCCTCAAAATCGGCATAGGAGTCGCTAAAAATGCAAACAAATTGGAGGGAACCAAAGACTTTAAGCATCCCTTATGTGGCCATATCATGGAATCTATTTTCTTATTTTTTGCGATTTGAGTTGCAATACCGAGATGGTACCTTCATGAGTCATGAGTCGTGTCAGGCTATGTCCAGCCTCCGCCTTTGGGCCTGGAAACTCAAGCCAAAACTTGCACACCTGCTGGGTTTACGCATTTGGTGAATTTTTGACAGCGTTGTGAGTTTCGCTCCTGTTTTTCTCTACATGCTGCGCACATCAAAGCAAATAAGTTCTTTAGAACTCTAGAGGCATGCCTGAGGGGACAAAACAAGGCAAGCAGAGTTCTTTCTTGTTTCATAACTAACTTTCAACTAGGACTTTGCTAGATATTCAAGAAAGGCATCCAGAGCTATCAGCTGCTTTGACTTTAAGGTGATTTGCCTTTCCTGCTCCCTAGCAGGGGGCAACTGGTTGCTTCAGTGCCAACCTGTGATTTTACGCATTTGATCTTGGAGAGTCGGTGAGAAAGTACACTTGCGTTCGTTCAACATGGAAAGCGGGACTGCAGGTGCTCCTCGTGCCTTGACCAGGCACGGTGCACTGCAATTCCGGTTGGTTGCCAAGAACCTTTACAAAACACGAACTTGCGTGATCAAACTAGCTGGCTGGCTCAAATGCAAGAGCTCAGCACCCCGTGGTTGTTCTTGCAGTTGCCTGCTGAAAGAACTTATAATATATATATATAACTCAGACACGAAATCTTGCCTCGGTGTTTACAGAGCAGAACTAGGCGGACAAATGCTTTGAAGCTACCGACTTTCATGCACGGAGTGGCCTGGACTAGAGTGACAATGTATGTGCCCGCGCGTATTTTGCCATGGAATTTGGCAGTGAAGAGGATGCTTTCTTCGCCCGGCATGAGCAGATGCCGCCAGAAGAGAGGTAACAAATTGGGCAGCGAGTGTGACAGGGACATATAGGGACTATATATAAAGACAAGATTGATATGAATCAACTCATCAATGGAAGTTTAGTTGAGATACTTTGAATTTTGGAACTACACTTCACCACATGACACATCACCGATAGAGAGAGAGAGAGAGAGATGGAGAGCTTCGATATACACAAGTCGATGAAGAAGTGGCAAATGGAAAGCACGTGGAATGAGGATCAGCACAAAGATGTCAGTAAACTAGGGAGGGTGGTGTGTGCAAATGGAAGTCCGGAGTCTGTTGGAGGTGGAGCGCGTGCGTTGGATAGGTCTGGGCTGAAATGATTGCGAAACATGCCCACCATGAATGATGTCAAGCATCAAAGCTTGAGCCAAATCACAAAAAGAAGTGTAACGCAGCAAGCATTCCAACCATGATAACATTGAAAACAGAACTTGGCAACCGATGCTTATTTAAGGGCTTACGCCCGAAAGCCGGCCAGAGAGCGGGCCTTGGGGGGTGTTACTTTGGTAATGGTGGGTGGTCATAGCTGGCCGCGTGGCGGTGATTGTTGTGGTTGCGGCGGTTGTGGTGGCAGTAGTTGTTGTGGGCGTGGTGGCGGTTGTGTTGATGGTTGTCGTTGGTGGGTTGGTGGCTGTCGTCGTTGGTGGCTGTTGTTGTGGCTATGGCTGTGGCTGTGGCTGTGGCTGTGCTGCTGCTGCTGTTGTTGTTGCTGCTGCGAAGTTGGCCTATGTTGGACATGTTGGGCTGCTTGTTGCTCCAGAGCGAGAGGGCATTGGAAACAGAGCAAACAAAATGCAAACGAAGTGTGTTAACCCCAGGCGCATAATTCACATCATCAACACTTTGACCGACATCATCATCATCATCATCATCATCATCATCATCAAAGCCAATGAAGAGTGGGAGGGCCAGGGGTGGGAGGAAACGGCCTAACGCCCCTGAACAGAACCATTGTTTCTTGCAAAAATAACTTTGCAACTGTTCGCGATTTTTGCGAACAGTCTCGTAAATACCGTCCGTTTTCTTTTCCGCCCCGGTCCCCCAAATTACACCAGCACAGACCCAGATAGCTAGGCAGAATCCCACGACCTGTTGACATGCGACTGGCTGGAACAAGAATGTCTGCAGCCTGCGCAGCCAGCTTACGGCACCTCCCCGTCTTCCACGCGCGCTCGGCCAGCTCACAGCACCAGCACTCAGGACCACAACACCAGCACCAGCACCGACACCCTTTCAAAAGCGCAGCCAGCTCATTCTTATTTGCAGCAAGAACCCCATCGCTATCCCTATTTGGGGAATAACAGCGTATGGTCTTTCTCTCTCCATCGCCTTCTCGAAGAGTTGATATAAGTTTATGCGCGCAAAAGTATGCGCGCAAGCAGCAAAGCCCGTAAGTGTCATTGGCCGGGCCAAGCAGTAGTAGCATGCTTGAAGCAACGATCTGCAGAACGATAAGGACAATCGAGACGAACTCAGCCTCACCTGATGATAGTGAGATCGACTTCTGAGATCGCGCGAGAATATTCAGATTGCCATCCAACATAATCTGGATTGATGATGCGCTTTTGCGACCGCTCCTGTTGCCGCGCCCGCACCAGCACCACCGGCGCCCGGCACCAGCGCCAGCACCAGCAAACTGTCTCCGCCGCGTGCGCAGCCAGCTCACAGCACCAGCACCCGGCGCCCGGCACCAGCAACCTGTCTCCACCACGTCCACAGACAGCTTACAGCGCCAGCGCCAGCACCGGCGCCCGGCGCCCAGCACCAGCACCAGCAACCTGTCAGCACCGGCACCGGCGCCCGGCACCAGCACCAGCACCAGCAACCTGTCTCCACCACCTGCGCAGCCAGCTCACAGCACCAGCGCCACCTGTCTCCACCACGTGCGAAGCCAGCTCACAGCACCACCACCAGCACCGGCGCCCGGCGCCCAGCACCCAGCACCAGCGCCAGCAACTCAGAGCGCCAGCGCCGGCGCCCCCGGCGCCAGCACCAGCAACCTGTCACAGCACCAGCGCCGGCGCCCAGCACCAACGCAATGCCAGCAACCTGTCTCCACCATGTCCACAGGCAGCTCGCAGCACCAGCGCCAGCAACCTGTCTCGAAAGCGCGCGGGCAACTCATTGTTATTTGAAGTAAGAACCCCATAGCTTCGCTATCTGGGGAAAAGGAAAGGTGCACCAAACCTCGCAAATACCGTGGTTCCTTGTTTTTTCCCTAGATAGCGAAGCCATGAGGTTCTTACTTCTCAAACAACAATGAGTTGCCCGCGCGCGCTTTTGAGACAGGTTGCTGGTGCTGGGCTTCTGACAGTGAAGTGATAACAACTTCCGCCGCTTGCAGCAGTGAAGGGCGACCAAGCGCCGCTTCTGTCAATGAAGTGCCAGTCACTCATGTTGCGCGCGACCTGCAAGGAACAAGAATGTACGCAGCCTGCACAGCCAGCTTACGGCACCTCCACAGCGCGCGCAATTAGCTGACATCAGCGCCGGCGCGCTTTGCCAGCTGACAACACCGGCAGCGGCGCCAGCGCCCAGCGCCGCCGCCGGTCTTAAACGCGCGCTCAGCCAGCTCACAGCACCAGCGCCCAAGAACACCAGCGCCAGCGCCGACATGTGCACCCTTTCGAAAGCGCGCGCAGCCAGCTCATTCTTATTTGCAGCAAGAACCCCATAGCTATCCCTATTTGGGGAATAACAACGTATGATCTTGCGCGTGCAAGTTTATGCGCGCAAAAGTATGCGCGCAAACAGCAAAGCCCGTAGGCATCATTGGCCCAAGGCCAAGCAGTATCCAGCGCGACGCTGCGACGTGCAAGAGTATGCGCGCAAACAGTACAGCCCTTGACACAGCTGTCGCACCTAGCACCGGTACCCGGCACCCGCCAGCTCGCAGCGCCAGCGCCAGCAACCTGTCTCGAAAGCGCGCGCGGGCAACTCATTGTTATTTGAAGTAAGAACCCCATAGCTTCGCTATCTGGGAATAACGAATTTACGCACTTGTCACCCTGGCATCAAGGCGACGCCGCCTAGACCAGGGTCGGCGGATTTACCATGAACCATGCTCGGTCCTTTTCTTCGCAAGGCGCCTACGCGCAGACAGAGTGCAGTTTTTTCGCAAAGCTGAGAAGAACCTGAAGAAGTTCAACCCATTGAGCGCTGATTTTGCCACGCAGACATTGCAATTTCTCAAGCAGCGTGCGATGCTGAGCATGTTCGTTCTTTATATATTGAGTTTTCAGGCAATTGCAGCGGGTGCTTAGAACGAATGCCCGTTCCATGAACTCTTCATCTTGCGTATTCACATTGCGTGAACCTTGACAGGAACCCACTTTCGTATGAACCACTGGAGCTCGTTGCCTGCGCTTGTCAACGCTGGTACTGTTTGCTTAAAGCTGGGTGCCCTTTGAAGGAGTTGTGTTTCTCCTGTGGGAACACGCGGATACCCA